AAGATGGTTTGTGTTTTATTTTCATATAATACATTGTCACCGATTTGATTTTCCTCAATGTTAGTTAGGGTTGAATGTTTGTTTATGCAACAAAGTTGTTTTTCAGAAGAAATATGCAAATCATGTTTCATTCATGTCAGCTACATAGATTGGTAAAAAAAAAAAGTGAAACGGTAAACATTTAACATGTGTATTGTCAATTTGTCATGAGGTACCCAGTTGCAAATCCAGTTACATTGTTGCATAGTTTGGCTCTAAATTGAAAGGTTGCATATTGTCTTCATTGAATGCTAGTGCCACGTCATGAGGTTAGAAGTACCATATTATATTACAATGTTGCATATTTTGGTCATAGAATGAAATAAATGTGGTTACATATATTTCGTCTAAAACATCATTTTGTTGCGTAAAAATATAAAATGTTTTAACCTAGTGTATGTGTTAAAAACTTAAAATGGAGTACTTAGGTACTCATTGTCATTTGATTTGTAGTGAAAAGCAATACTTGCTCCACAGAATTATCATTTGTATCGAATCATGTTATGGGGTTGAACTTGAACAAATCCGATTTGGCTAGAATTTGGTAAAAAAAAACATGATCGGTCTAGTCCAATTTTTTTAGATGAATGTTAGTAGTTGAATATTATTGGGTTTTTTAAAAAAAAAAAAAACATTAGTTTATTATACCTTATTGCAACATTGTAAACGAAAGAAATATTGAAGTACTGAAGCTATAAATTTAAAACAAACGTAATACATAAATTAATAAACTTTAAGAATTATAGAAATAATTTCATCTTATAAATCACAAACAGAGCACTCGTAAAATGAGTATTTATTTTATAGATGTGGCTAAGATGGTCAAATTAAAAAAAAAAAAAAAAAAAAAAATGCAGAAAATCCTTATCCCACTTTTCTAAAAAGCCCAATGCATGTCCTTAATCCTTACTCCTTATCTACAACTCTACTACTTATACTTACAGCTCAAAAACCGGACACATGGTTGTGTTATACAATTATAGTTTTACCGCCGAGAGCCCGAGATAACAATTAAATGGATGAATCCAATCAAGAGAGAAGAGAGGGCGGGGAGGAGAGCTTTCAGTTTCACCCCTAAACCACACCTAGGGTGTGGTGTTACTGGGTGCGGTTACCGTTTCCTTTCACCTATCCTGCAGGTATATTGTTCAACCATATTAAAAAAAATAGTCAAGAGTCGTTTTGTGGGAGTTTCGGGCTCGAATCCTAATATGTATTGGGCTAGTTGTGGTATTCTCCTTTCATGCAACAACATTATCTGAAATTTATGGTAATGGTGTTCACCTTGTTCACATCTTATGCAATGCTCTATGTTATGGACAACGAAAAAGGTTTTTGAAATAAGTTTTGGTCCTGAGAGATGATATCAACCACTATATAGCCATATGATGTATCCGTTATGGTTATTTTGTATCCTTTTTTTTTCGTAGAAAATTTTGTTTAGTATACCAAATGATATAACATTATAAACAATATTCTAACTCTCGCTCTCGTCAGCATAAATTTGGCATCTTCCCATGTCCTTTCACCAAACTAGTGAACTACCATTCTACCAAAGACTATGCTTATTCTTTCTTTTTGCTTGTAGATTGTTGAAATTATGCTCACTGTTACAACATGTTAGTGACATAATAAGTTGTATGAGCATGTATGAGATACACACTTAGCTATAGATTATGTAGCAAAAAATAATTTAAGAGAAAATTACATAATTCATCATTGGTTCAAGTGTCAAATTACGCGTTTAGTTCTTATTTTTGAAAATTAACTCGCACTATCTCTTATATGTTTAAAACTTGTATGTGTCGTCCCTAACCATCATCAGAAGGCTATATTACCATTATTAATTTCTTTTTTACTTAATTTGTTATATGTTTATTATTAACCCATTAAAAAACGTTTAAAATATAATGTTGGTCTCATAATGCCCTCAAAGTCCTTTACATCCTAAAAAATCTCTACCATCGACCACCGCCTCTAGTAATGACCTCCGTCATCAACCACCATCAACTCCGAGAGCCATCATCAACCATCCATGTATGATTTCAATTTCATCATATTCATGGTTTGTATGATTTCCTAACAAAAACAAGGCCTTGAAGCAGCAACACGGTGCATCTAGCAACAATCCATATGTAACAAATATCCAAAAATCAATTTAGGTTAAAATATGATAACCATCGATTGTATGACTTCAGAAACATCGATTGTTTCTCTGATAAAGAATCACATATGTAAAAAAGATTAAAAGATCAAAAAACTAATCTACGTTAAAACCTGGAAGAAAATGACATAATCGATCATTTGAACAGACAAACACATCAGTTTGTTTGTGAGTTCGATTTATATGAATTGATCATCTGAGGGAATCGATAAAAAAACAAAAGGATCTGAAATGGCCTTGAAATCCTCTAACTCGATCATGTACACTCGGTCATGAAACGGATCTACACTCGGTTTTTAATTTAAACGTAAAAGAGAAAAAAGACCAATGGTTTCAATTTGAATAGATCAGAACATATCTACACTTGGTTCTAATTATAACATATCTAAAACAGTCTTGAAAGCATCTACAACCATCTGTGACCCTATCGTGGGAGATTGGCTCTAATTCAAACGTATAAGAGTGTGTTTGAGATTTCATTTAAAAACAACTTATTTACTTATTGACTTTTTGAAAACTCAGTAAGTCAAAAATAGTGTTTGACAATAAAAAAAAGACTTAAAATAACTTCTCACTAACCGTAAAAAATGAGATTTCAATAAGTTAGGATTTTTGACTTTTCAAACTCCTTATAACTTTTTGGATTGTAAAATACCCCTTAAAACATGTGTAACGCCCCGATTCTCAGGTATCGATTTTATATAAGAACTTTCTTGTTCTCAAGGTCTACTCGACGAGTTGGTTGCCTTACTCGTCGAGTAGCAGCGGGTTGGGTCGCGGATTTTAGTGGCCTACTCGCCGAGTCCAATATGGGACTCGTCGAGTAGGAGCTGGAGGATGAAACCCTAAATCTCGGGGTATTGCACCCTATTTAAAGGATCATTGGCCTCCCCCAGCCTCCCCTTTACTGCTTCTTGTCCCTCTCAAACCCTAATATGTGTGTGTGTGTGTGCTCCATTGTGTGTTCCAAGCCTTGGGAAGAAGATTCTTAGAAAAGGGAGCTTGAAGATCAAGTAGCTAGCAGCAAGGAGCTTGTGTGGACCTGAAATCTACCTCAGATAGCACCATTTGAAGGTATCAAGTCGTTACCTTGACGTTCATTCCCTCTAGATCTCCTTTGGGTTGAAATTTAGGGTTTTTTATCATGTTATGAAGCTATTCTTGGGTATGAGCTAAGATCTGAAGTTGCAACTTCAGATCTGAACTCTCCTTGGTCTTTAGGTCCATAAAGTTACAGTCTTAGCAAGTATGAACCCTTCCTTTTTTAGTGAAACCCCATTTCAAGTTTAGATTTGGCATTATGGTCCATTAGAGCCTTGCATGCACGTAAAGTTTGCAACTTTATGTGATAAACATGCCTTGGGAAGCTGGATCTACAATATGGAGCCTTAGCATGGCTTAAAAAGCGTCTGAATGGATGATGAATTGAAGGAACTCGGCGAGTCGCAAGGTCGACTCGGCGAGTCATATGAAGATTGTCATGAACTCGTCGAGTTGATGAACAACTCGACGAGTCCGATGAAGATTGCCTTGGACTCGGCAGGTCAGTCGAATGACTCGGCGAGTCGGCTAGGGTTTTTCCCAATCTTTGTACACGTATGAACTCGGCGAGTTAAAGGGAAACCCGACGAGTCAACCACAGATTTCACGACTTCTCGAGTTCGGAAAGGACTTGACGAGTCGGTGAACTGCACTCTACGAGTCGAGTCAACATGGACTGTTGACTTTGACTGTGGGCTTTGACTTTGACCAAGAGTTGACCAGTTGACTTCTGAGGGTATTTTGGTAAATTGGAACTTATGAAAAAGGGTCTTATGGTAACTATAGGTGGGGGAGCTCGTGTTGGTGAATCCGGGAGTTGAGCTTTCTAGTTTCAGACGACAGTTGTGAGGTGAGTTTTCCTCACTATACTCAAGGGTCTACGGCACCAAGGCCGACCCTTTGGATTGTTATACGGTTATGTTATGCTAGAATGATCTGTTAGATCGGTATCCTAGAGGGTAGGATAATATAATATGAGATGTGGTATGATCTGTTAGATCGGCATCCTGGTAGATAGGATGGTGTTATGTGCTCTGTAGTATGATTCGTTAGATCAAGTATTGTCTATAGACTGTTACGTGATTATATGTTATATATGCACATGTTTGTTTTAGCGGTTGAGGCTTATCTGCTTTGTGCGAAAGCCAATAGACCTGGGCATTCCAACTGAATGGTTGAGGGCCTGGGGTATTCCATCCCGAGGATGATTGGACCCATAGTGTGTTGGCATTCCAACCGAATAGTTGAGGGCCTGGGGTATTCCATCCCGAGGATGATTAGACCCATAGTGTGTTGGCATTCCAACCGAATGGTTGAGGGCCTGGGGTATTCCAACCCGATGGTTGACTGGACCCATAATATGCTGTTTATGATTATATGTGTATTGTTGCGGGTATGGGTATTTTGGGGGGAAACTCATTAAGCTCTCGGGCTTACAGTTTCAGTTTATTGTTTCAGGTACATCAGGGGATCGCGGCAAGGCGAAGGCGTGATCGTACAACTCCTCATGTTTTGTCTATGTTTATGGGAAAACTCTGATATTATACATTTTGAAAACAAAGTTGTAATGAATTTTTAATGGTTTGGAATGTTTTTAAAAGTTTAAATTGGCTTAAATTTTTGGGTGTTACAACATGTATAAGTTAAGGCAAAACAAACATTTTTTAAAAAACAACTTATTGACTTATTGACTTTTCCATAACAATAATTAATTCAAACACTTTTAAAAAAAATCATTTTCTCACCACCATAAGTCAATAAGACATTTTGAGGCTCAAAATGAAATCTCAAACACCCTCTAAGAAAGAAAGAGATCGATGGTTCTTTATTGAGAACAAAGAAGAGAGGAAAAGGCCATCAGTTCTTCGGTAGGGTGGGGTAGGGTAAATGTAAATGGTGAGGGGAATGGGTCGTATTTCCTATTTTTAATTTTAAATAATAATAAACATATTAAATTAATTGAAAATAAATATAAAGGGGAATTATTGTCATTTCAGATCAGATACATACTAAAATCACAATAAAACAATATTGCATGGATCAAGCGTGCAATCGTGCATGTTTAAACATATAAGAGACGATCCGATCTAATTTTTAAAACTATGGACTAAACACATAATTTGACACTTGAACCAGTGACAAATCCTATAATTTTCTCAATGAGAGGAAATAATCTATTATTTATTGAAGTGTTAATAAATAATTAAAAATTAGTTAACGGGATTAATTAATTGTGCTAAAGGAATTTTATTAATTATTAGAGATAATTAATGGATAATTCCTATATATAACTATAAGGATTATATTGATAATTGTGACATCCCTTATTTTTCGAAACAAAAGATAAAAAAAACTTTTCTTTACACTTTAAAAATCATAATATATTTGTTTGTGGAAAATCTAAGTATAATAAAACATTTTGCGGAAAATTTTCGTTTTATTAAAATATCTTGAGTAATGATGTTGTTTCAAAATACAAAAACTCTAAGGATGTCATAATCAATCTACAACATATGTTATAAAGTAAAGACTTACGGTCCTAAATACTATTGCAAGTCTTCTCTTTAAACACTCAACATCATATTCAAGTCTCCAACAATCTTAACACCGCTACATGTGATACATATAAATGGAGTGGATCGGGTTTGGAAACGTGGTGAGATACATATGGTTTTCAATCCCACAATGTTATTATGATAATAACATATAATCAATAAACCTGCAAAAACCAACTGTTATCTAACAACACAATATAAATATGTATAAGACAATTTGCCCTTAGTTACCCATCCCACCGATCCTTATATATTAATCCTATAACAATGATCTTATAAGATCTATTATGAAGGATCACTGTAAGTAATGAGTTGACTATACTTATTTGGGGAGTCCTTGGCAGCAAGCGTTAGTCAATAAAGGCAACCACCGGGGGGGGGGGGGTAGAGTATACAAATAAACCTACGATCCCTTTTCACTGGATTAGTATGATTCATTAACACCAAAAGACTGAGTTTAGTCAGTGGTGACCATCTATACTCTGTTAGATGATTTAGACATACATAGTAGTGGTCTAATACAGAAACGCCATATCTAGTTGTCTAAAAGGTCAAAGGGTGTCTAAAAGGTCAATGGGTGAAGGTGAAGGCAGTAAGAAAGCATGAAAAATGAGCAAGAGCAAGGAAAAGATGCAACAATATAAATAGGATTTATGAATTGTTTCTTTTAAGTTATGTGTCCCTGAAAACAATAGGATTTTGGTGTAATGAACTATTTTGAAGTATTAGGTTTTGTGGTGTTATGATGTAGAGTAAACCTTAGTCATGATCAAGTCATGTACCAATGACATTAAGAACTTGTGATGCTTGCACTTTTATAGTTAAAATGTAGTCGCGGTGTTATGATGTGGATTAATGTAGTTGTGTGTTAATGATCTTGTGTTGTTTGCAATTTTATGGTTTTAAGTTTATGATCTTATGTTGTTTACAATTTAGTACCATTTCCACAACAAACAACCAACACATTGTACACCGTTTGTGCCAAACAAAACATTATATAGAAATCATGATTTAACACTTAAACATTATAGTCAAAAGCAAGGCTTAATGCCAACAAACCAACACCATTTTAGTCCCATTACTACAATCATAGGAACCAACACATCTTACAAGTTGTACCTACTTGAATTCTATAACACCGCTGCAATGACCCATTTTGAAGAAAATGATTAAAAAAAAAACCTAAGACAAGAAAAATAGGGCATTATAAATCCTTGTATATGCTAATGTTGCTTCCAAGTTATTTCTTGCCCTCAGTAATCTTGGGATGATAACGACAACCCTAGCACACCGGTGGGTCAACACAGCCGATAAACAAACATTGTGAGCCATTTGACGGACAACCCCAAAAATGCCTACCTGAATTGAGATAAATTCATGATGTGTATACAATCGCATGGCGACCACAAAGCACATATCACCATTATTTGGTTTTCAAGAGTCAATTTTAGGAAGGGTTTAAGTTCGAAAGCTATATTGAGTAGGAAACTGAATTTAAAAGCTTATGAGATCAATTCCCTACAGATATAGAATTTGGGAAGAAGACAAAAAGGAATTGGCAAAAATGCCCACCTAATGGTTTTTGACGGAGTATAAGTAACGTCGTGTGCCTCAGGGATGGCTAATGCAACTTTTTTAAACCACAATAATGATGGGCCCTATCCATTCTCATAGGTTGGACCAAACTTGAGAATTGGAACAAACCATAGGGACCATTTCTGTACTCTATAAAACATTATTAATATTTCTCATCGCCAAGCTACCGTTAGCAAACCCTCACGCTCTCACCTTAAACCCTAATTCTTATTTTCATTGCCTCCAAAACAACAGGCCGAAACAGCGGCAACATCCCAAAGTTACGAACACAAATTTGCAGAGATTAAACAGTGAAAGTGTGGCTGCCTGCTATGGTGGCTCTTGAGAAAAACCCTAATTTCAAAATCGAAAATGGCGAGGGTTCTAATAGCAAAAAGAAACGAAAGAGGAACAAGAACAAGAAGAACAGTGGAGAGGAAGAGCCTGATTTGGTAGCACAGGAAGTAGCAGAAATCAATGACAGTGAGAAGGAAGAGGAAGTTACAGCGGTGAAAGAGAAGAAAAGTAAGAGGAAGAAGAAAGAGAAGAAATCTAGCGAAGAAGAAAAGGAAAACACAGAGACAGATGATAATAAAGAGGAGGAAGAAGGTGATGAGGGTATGAACATGGAAGAAGAGGCGGAAAAGGAGACAGAGACAAAGACAAAGAAGAAGGTGAAGAAAAGTGGTGGCGACTCTGGAATCATGAGTAGCGATTCATTTACTTCTTTACCCTTATCTGAACCAACAAAGAAAGCTATTCTTGATATGGGTTTTCAGTACATGACTCAGGTAAATTTTGCGCTTGTAGTCTTACCTATGCGACTAATGCGATTGAACTTGTGACTTGTCTTTAACTTGTATATTATGATTTGCAGATTCAAGCTAGGTCAATTCCTCCTCTTTTGGAAGGAAAGGATGTTCTTGGAGCTGCAAGAACAGGTTCTGGGAAAACTTTAGCCTTTCTTATCCCAGCAGTTGAATTGCTATATCATGCTTGCTTTGCTCCTCGAAATGGAACTGGTGTCGTTGTCATCTGTCCAACAAGGGAGCTTGCAATACAGGTTCATGTTCTACCTTGCTATTTACTAATTACAGTTATGTTGTTTGGATCATGAAGCGAACACAACTAATAATCATAAATAGTTAGGTATATAATAAATGTATTACATTTGAAAATGTTTTAGAAGTTGAATTTAACATGATTCTGTGATCTTGTTTATTTTTTACAGACTCATGCAGTTGCAAAGGATCTTCTCAAGTATCATTCACAGACTCTAGGGTTGGTTATGGGTGGTGCAGGAAGAAGAACAGAGTCTGAGCGTATTGTGAAAGGAGTAAATTTATTGGTAGCTACCCCTGGAAGACTTCTTGATCATCTTCAGAATACAAAAGGCTTTATTTTTAAGAACCTAAAGGTACCTTTTTTCATTTCATCTTGTTTTCTTATTATTAACTGATACTTGAGGAAATGGAATGACAAAGCAAATTTTTAAAAAGCAAGGGCTAAATGGGGAAAGTCTCTTTTTCTGACTTTCTCCATTAAGTGGTAATTTAATCTCTTATCTTGATTTGAAATGACCAATTGGATCTATCAATCAATTTTTGGATTTGCAGTGCTTTGTGATTGATGAAGCTGACAGAATATTGGAAGCAAACTTTGAAGAGGAAATGAAGCAGATAATTAAAATCTTACCCAAGGTATGATTCCTTTTTACTTTGCATAATATTGTTTTTTTTTTTATAAGAAATGCAAGAAATAGCACCACATTACAATGCTTTACTAAAAACAAATGAAAGTTGGATGCTGTAAAAGAAAGTATGTTGCTATTTCTTTCATGTGTTTTTATTCATATTAACTGACTATATTACCCTTGTGGTAGTTAGCTTTTGTATCATTAATGAACTGAACTCTGTTCTCTGTAATATGCAGACAAGGCAAACTGCTCTCTTTTCTGCAACTCAGACAAAGAAGGTACAACCTCTTTCCTTCACAATTTGTAATAAGTTTTTTAATTTTTTTCTATTACAAACATTGTACCTTGAAAACTCTAGCTATTTGTATCTTATTTGTTTATATACTTTTTTCTCAGGTTGAGGATCTTGCACGCTTATCATTTCAAACTACTCCAGTGTACATTGATGTAGATGATGGGAGGACAAGAGTAAGCAAAAACATTCTCTTTCTTTTTTTTTTTAACTATATTTTTGAGTTTTCAATTTCAAGTTATGTTTTATATAGTTTATAATATGATGATGTTTTGGGGTGTAGGTGACAAATGAAGGATTGCAACAAGGGTATTGTGTGGTGCCAAGTGCAAAGAGATTCATACTTCTCTACTCTTTCTTGAAAAGGAATCTGTCAAAGAAAGTCATGGTTTTCTTTTCTTCATGCAATTCTGTTAAATTCCACTCTGAGCTTCTCAAATACATTCAAGTCGATTGTTTTGATATCCATGGAAAACAAAAACAGCAGAAAAGAACCACAACTTTTTTTGATTTCTGTAAAGCTGAAAAAGGGATTTTGTTATGTACTGATGTTGCTGCTCGTGGTCTTGATATCCCATCAGTGGTATATGTTCATTTTCCCTTTATATAATTCACCTTAAAACACTAAATCTCCATACATTTTAAAATTTTTTTTTTATAGGATTGGATTGTGCAATATGATCCTCCAGATGAACCTAAGGAATATATCCATCGAGTGGGTCGAACTGCTCGTGGAGAAGGTGCAAAAGGGAATGCATTGCTTTTTCTTATCCCTGAAGAGTTACAGTTTCTTCGATACCTCAAGGTGTGTGTGTGTGTGTGTGTGTGTTGAGTTTCAACTTTCAATATATATATTGAAATTGAAATTCTTGTGTTTGTTGTATGTTAAAAGGCTGCAAAAGTACCTGTTAAGGAGTACGAGTTTGATGAAAAGAAAATGGCAAATGTGCAGTCTCATCTGGTACGTATCAATAAGGGCATTATTGTACTTTTCAAAATTATTATTATTATTTTTAATAATTGGATTATGCAGGAGAAACTGGTTGCCAATAACTATTACTTGAACAAGTCTGCGAAAGATGCATACAGATCGTACTTGTTATCTTATAACTCACATTCCATGAAGGACATTTTTAATGTTCATCGCCTAGATATGCAGGTATTTTGTTTTTTATCTTTTTAATTATTATATGTCCATTTTTTTTTAGTTTCTGAAATTTGTTGTTTTAAAATTTTATATTGTGTAATAGGCTGTTGCAGCATCATTCTGCTTTTCAAACCCTCCGAAGGTAAACCTAAACATAGACAGCAATGCATCAAAGTTCAGGCAGAAAACACGAAGCAGAAATGGATTTAGTGACAGTAATCCTTATGGAAGAAACAATCGTGATGACAACAACAAAACGCAAGTTGTCAGATATTAATTAGCCACCCAATTGTGCCCAGTTTTGAAGCTAATTTAATTTTGTTTTACTCTGTTTTTTTTAAAGTATTATTTAAAACGGTTTTATTTATTTATATTTTATTTTATACTTTGTTTGTATACCTATACCCCATGATTTTTGTTCAAACAACTTGTAATATTTTGTTTCGTCTTTCTCATTACTTGATGATATCTGTGTGGGCAAATTGCATAAAGCCCATTTTATTTTGGTTCTTTTGTGGTTAAGCCATGTATTTTCGTTTTGTTAATGAAAACCACTCGAGTCAAAGTGTAATATAAATAAATTTTTGTCAAAATGTAATAGCTTTAGTGGGATATTTAGTGTCTAAATATTCCATTAAAGCTATAGGATATTGACAAAACTTTATATTGTTTAACCTGCTATAAAATATTCCATTAAAGCTATAGGATATTGACAAAACTTTATATTGTTTAACCTGCTATAGTAAGTCAAGTGGGACGCATTGGAAAATATTGTCAATAGAGCTGAAATGTGGTGGTTAAACAATAAAATGACCAAAATATAATAACTTTTACTTGTTTTTCCCTTGATAAATGATATCTAAAAATTTTCAGAGAAGTTTGTTAAGTTTATCAAGTAAAAAACAAATGGCATCCAGTTGGAGGTTGACTAAAGTATCCAAAATGGATGGACTCCTAATGACTGCTTTATAACAAAATAATCTTTCATTTTGCAAAATTGCCTTATGAATGCTCTTTAATACAGAAAATCTTAAAAAATCTACTCGAATACATGAATATCCATTTTGTCACATGTCAATCTTTCATAAGTTTTGACAATTGTCATTTTGTGATATTTTTGAAATAAATAATATCCACATGTCAAATTCTATTTTATTATTATTATTATTATTATTATTATTTTTTTTTTAATTTTAAAATTAAAAAGCCACATAATACATAGAATAAATTACATGAATGGTCCCTATGGTTTAGGGTAATTTGCGTGTTTGGTCCTTAACTTATTTTTTTAACTAGGAAGGTCCCTATTGTTTGTTTTTGTTATACGTTTGGTCCCTGTCTTACCTAAAAATACTATTTTGCCCTTATTTTTTAGTTTATTTAAATAAACACACCCTTAATCCCACTCCGCTCACCTTACCTTACCTACCCCATCTTTTTTCCCTATTTAAATAATAGTCTTCTTAGGTAAGATAGGGACCAAACACGTAATAAAAACAAACAATAGGGATCAAACACGTAACAAAAACAAACAGTAGGGACCTTCCAAGTTAAAAAAATAAGTTATGGACCAAGCACGCAAATTATCCCAAACCATAAGGACCATTCGTGTAATTTATTTTAAATTTTAATTTTAAAAAATACTTAATGTTTACATTTTGATATTTAATTTTTTTATTTAACCCATGTAATACACGAGTGTCACACCTAATAAATAATATATAAAATGTATATTTTATATTGTGGAATTCTAATAGGTGAAGTTATTTTGGTAAAATTCACTTTGTGAAGGTCTTGACAATTTTGTCCTACATTTTCAAAGGTTGGTCGTTTGGTGATATACTACAAATTTTGGCAAACTTAGTGATTATATTCATTCCATTCTTGTATTGTTTTGAGATAAGGAACCATGAGAAAGGTTGTGATAAATATATGTAGATGAATCATCGTTTCTTGGTGGCAACAACAATATAGAAATGTTCGTCAATGTGGTAGGGAAGGAATAATATAAAACCCTGATAAGTTTTTATAATGATGAGAAAATTTACTGTCTCTGATAAGTTTCTATGATGATGAGAAAATTCATTGTCTTTTACATAGATGAAAGATTGATGACCCCTCTGGTTGTGGAAAAATAGCAATACCTTGTTTTCCAGAAACAATTTCTAAGCATAATGAAATTTTTGAAAACATGCTTACTTTAATATACTTTTTTACTTTAATATATTTTTTTAAGATTGCTAAATTACAAGTAACTTTGCTTCTCAATTCCAAAATTTTCTCAAATACACACATACACCCGCTCATTGACACCAACCCCAACATTCACCCACACTGCCACACCCACCCAACCCGAACATGCATCCGTTCAGAGTGTCATAGAACGAGCATTTGGTGCTCTTAAAAAAGATTCACATTTTGTGAGATATACCAAACTATCCGTTAAAACGTCAAGCATGCATGATGTGCATCACATAATTACATACATATGGGCAGACAATTTGTTCACTACTACATATGGTGATGAGAATCTTTAAGACCACGAGAAAGGTTTGAATGTGGTTTAAGAGACTTTCCTTTAGATATGACCGGTCAAGATAAATTGATTCAAGTTAGAGACTTAACTGCTAATTGGTTATGGAAAAAATATACACAACATCAAGATGTTTGCAACTTTGATATGTAGTAAAATTTGTCTTCTTATTAATTTGTTTGTTTAAAAATTAAAATACATTGATGAATTAACACGTGAGGATAAATTGCGGGTCATTAACAATAATATGGTCTTTATAATAATTTACGTATCAATTAGTTATGAAAAATTTAAAAATAAAATTCATTAGTTATGATATAACACAATTTGCTCACCTTTAATTTAAATCATTTGGTTGGTGATAATAACAAATTAACAAGTACTTTTTTTTTGTTTGCCTTTACTATTAAATAGGAAATAAAATATCCATTACAAAACACAAAAGTCAGGATGGCCGAGTGGTCTAAGGCGCCAGACTCAAGTTCTGGTCTTCGAGAGAGGGCGTGGGTTCAAATCCCACTTCTGACATTTTTGTTACTCTTCAGCTTGTTATGTAGTTTTTGTTACTTTTTGCTAATAACTTATTACAGAAACAAATTAACTTTATATTTTACTTTTAGGCATTTAGCTACTTGTCCTTTGACCTTTTGTCACCTTCGATCCTTTAAGATATGCCTAAATACAAAACAAACTCATTTGCACCTTCAAACCCCAAAATATCTTTATTTTTTCATAGTAGAAGAATCAAAGTTGATTTTAGAACATACAAATCAATATCCTGATATTATAAAATCTGTTGGATCACAATTAATTTTGTATTCTAAACAACATATCGTATACAACTAAACAGCATAATCGTAAAGGATAAAATGTGTTTGCATTGGCACAAATATTTCAAATAACTATTAATCATGTAATTAGGTGTAAATCTCAGTTTTTGTAGAATTAATCACGAAACTCCACTTGGATTCCAAGCTTCTCTCATGAACATATTACTTCACAACAGTTTTAATTTTTTCGAGCATCTTCTAAGTACCAGGGGGAGTATTGAAGGGTGAACATATTTTTTTTTTGAACAACTTAAGACCCATATATTCATAATTCTAGCAAAATGCTAGAATGACAAATGTTAAATTACAAAGGATTCAGAATCCAAGCGTTCCAAAGTACATCGGACTTGGAAGCTCGAAATTTTAACCAAGAAAACGAATGCAAAATAACATTATCAAACAATGTATCTTTCCTAATTTGAACCCCATCAAACACCAAGGAATTTCTAAATCTCCAAATCACCCAACACGTAGTTACCAAAATCACTTGTAACCGTAACTTTTTATTTTGAGAAATTGGTTGATCGTCCACCCAAGAAAGCCATTCTTTGAACAAAAATGAACCCGGGAAAGTCGTTCCACACCAATGAGCGATATGAGACCAAAGAGTCGAAGCCATCTCACATTGAAAGAAAATGTGCTCTGTTGATCCACCTCTCGAATCACAACATGGACACAAAATCGATACTAACTCCATACCTTTTTTTGAAAGATTAAATCTAGTAGGTAATCTGTTTAAAATCAACCTCCAAAGAAAAATATTAACTTTTCTTGGAAGTGAGGAATACCAGGTAGTCACTTGGCCGCCATCAACCAGAGTGATACCATCAATAAACGTTCTAGTAGTCTTAACCGAAAAGACCCCCTCCGGATCTAAAGACCACCGGTACCTATCAGATGCACCCGAGAACACTACTCCTTGTAACGCCTCCAACAACTGAGAAAATTGTTTCTCAACTCTTCCTCTGATCTGTCTATGCCAATCCCAAACCCAACTTCCATTACTGTATCTATCACAAACCAAGCAAAGATGATCATTTTCAAGTTGGATTAGTCTATCGAATCTAACCTTTAATGGTTGATTCCCCAGCCAGACATCAGACCAAAACTGTATCATATTCCCTCTACCCAGTTTCATTTGAAGAGTTTCCAGTGGAATAATACTATTAGCATCCATTTTATGAATGCAAATACTATATTGGCCCAAACTCCTTGCCTTCTCCCTCCTCTAGCAAATCTATTGAACCCACCATCTTCACCATGTATTGATTTCAAGATTCTAGCCCAAAAAGATTCACCATTAACCATAAATATCCAACGCCATTTTTGCAATAAAGCATTATTAAACGCCGAGAGACTACCCAAACCAATGCCACCTTTTTCGCGACATGCAATTACCTGTTCCCATCTCACCCAATGTAATTTTCGAGATTCACCTTCACCACCCCAAAAGAATTTACTTCGCAAGTCTTCAAGAGTTTTTAAAACTCCTTCCGGTGTCTTGAATATCGACATATAATATATACTAATGCTTCCTAGAACCGATTTTACAAGAGTAGATCTTCCCCCTATTGATAAGCATCTAGCTGATCGGTCTATATTTATAGCACAATAAATTGTACTAAATATGTTGAATTGATGCATAATTGTCCAAGAATGACACTACTTTGATGAAATGTTGAACATTATGTGCAGGACACTACTTAGTGCTAAAGTGGGCGGAACGTGCAAGAAAAATGAGCAAAAGGAAGCTAACAAGTATGAGAGATGAATTGCTAAAAGAATGAAGAAAAATGGTGCTGAGAAATTTGACCACTCTTCAATGTTTTGATCATATCTGAAGATCTATAGCTCCAATTGACATGAATGAAGAAGTTCTGGAAACTAGACAAAATTTCCTACAACTTTCATGTTTTGTATTTTTACTGATTCTACCGTTTTCATCACCAAAAAGGGGCAACAAATATGAAAGACGTCCTAGAACGCGTCTAAAACGCCACCTAGGACGCCTACCCGTTTTAGGTCATTTTCAAGTGCAAATCAAGGACGACAGAAGGCA